TGCAAGGAAGTGGAGGTGTCAGCAGTGGCGCACGCAGGAGGGACAGCTGTCGCCGGCACCCAGGCTCCAGAATGCCAGCAGCTGTCCTTGTTCCGCCCAGCCACCCCGAGGCCTCTGCACCTGTGCCTCAGCCTTGGCGTTCCTCAGACAGGCCCAGCATTCTGGAGACGGTCTTGGAATTCTAGAGATGCCTCTGGTGGAGGCCAGAGCTGGCAGAAGCTCTCTTCCTGGTGCCTGGAGAGAGCTGAGGGGAGAGGAGAGGAGTCCCCTCAGGCCTGCCTTGGGGAGCTAGAGAATTTAGGGACCTATACAGACACCCAGAGTGACCCAGGAAGGATGAGTTCCAGGAGAGAAGGAAGGGCCCCAGGGGATGGCGCTGCCAGCTAGTGCACCCTTCGATGGTCTGTTCACACATCGACCATGTGCCTGGTGCGGGGCCGAAAGCTGGGATGTGGCAGAGTGAGGCCTAGTCCCTAATCTCATGGAATTTTAAGCACATGAGTGCGGGGAGGAAACTGGCGCAGGGCTGGATAAACACTGTAGAGGCACAGTGGGCCTACGAGACACAGCAGTCTGGGAAAGCTTCCTGGTAGGGCTGACCCTGAGTGAGCCCTGGAGAACCACAGGGACCCGGCCATGGGAGGGCGTGGGGAAAGACCAGGAGAGTCTCAGGAGCAGAAAGGCAGTTAGGGCCCGGCACGGTGGCTCACACCGGTAATCCTAATACTCTGGGAGGCTGAGGCAGAGGGATCGTTTGAGCTCAGGAGTTCCAGACCAGCCTGAGCAAGAGCGAGACCCCGTCTCTACTAAAATAATAGAAAGAAATTAGCTGAATAACTAAAATTATATATAAAAAAAATTAGCCGAGCATGGTGGCACATGCCTGTAGTCCCAGCTACTCTGGAGGCTGAGGCAGAAGGATTGCTTGAGCCCAGGAGTTGGAGGTTGCTGTGAGCTAGGTTGATGCCATGGCACTATAGCCCGGGCAACAGAATAAGACTCTGTCTCAAAAAAAGAGGCAGTGGGGGGTAGGAGCCACACCCCAGCAACCTCGGGGGAGGTGGGCAGTGCCAGACTCCATGAGAAGCCCAGACCATGTCGGGGGCGAGGTGCTGTCAGGCTGCAGAGTGGAGGAGGGCTTATGTGGAAGCCAGGAGCTGGCCTCAGGCGGGGCAGGTTCCAGGTGGGTGAGAAGGCCTGGTGGCTCTTTGCACAGTGGGGGCTGGGGAGAGAGGGGTGAGGGTGTGCATGGATTCAGGGCACATTTGGGGACTACAGTGGACAGAACTTGCTGAAGGCTTGAATATGAAGGGTGAGAAAGTGAGGAGTCAAGGATGACCCCTAGAATTTTGGCCAAACTGCCATTTCCTGAGATACGGAAGCCTGGAGGAGGTGCTGATTAGGCAGTTGGGGTATTGGAAAGTGAAGGTTACTTTTATTTTAGTGGATTTTTGTTTTGTTTTGAAATTTCAGACTTGCAAAAATGTTGCAAAAATAGTACAAAGAATTCCTATTTGTTATGCGGCTTCCCCACATGTTAACATTTTAAATAACCACAGGACAATGATCAAACCCCAGAAATTATGATCTAACTTGGACACAACATTGCTAATTCATTTTCTGCGGTTATTGAACTTCGGTTGCCCTCCTAAAGGTCTTTTCCTGGAACAGGAGCTAATTCGAGTTCACACTAGTGTGATCTAGTCAAACTAGTGTGTCTCCTACTCTCTACCTCCCTGTGGCAATTGCTCAGTCTTTCCTCATCTTTCAAGACCGTGACCCATTTGGAGAGCACGGGCCAGCTATTTTGTGGAATCCTACTCGCTTTCGATATGCCCAGTGTCTCCTCAAGACTAGATTTGGGGGATGATCGTGGGAAAGATGGAGAGTTTTTTGTCTGTGTCAAAGTTGAGATGCCTCTGAGATGGGCTGGTGGGAAGGTCAAAGCCAGGTGGCAGCTAAGGGCGAGGGCAGAGGCACAGCCGTGGACATAGGTCCCGTCAAGTTTGGAAGCCTTTTCCCTTGTCATAAACAGGACCCCAGGGAGAGAGTTCTCAGGGAGAGGTGGCATCCCTGTGGGCAGTCAGGGGGAGGAGGTGTGGCCAGTGGGGTGGGAGAAGGGCCCAGGGGCCAGGAGTGAAAGAAGGGGGCACGATGACATCTGATGGCCCTGGATGGAAGCATTCCATTGGAGCAGCAGGGTGGAAGCTGGGGTACAGGGGAGATGGTGAATGTGGGCAACACCCAGGGAGCAGAGAAACGGGCCAGAGCAGAGGAGCAAGGGGTCCAGGGAAGCCTGTTTAAGGAGGGGGTAAAGGAAGGGCTTGAATGCTCATGAGAACAACCCAGCGAAGCAAGAAATGTGCCGATGCAAGATTGGGGCAGCTCTGCAGCAGGCCTGCGGCCTCAGGGCCCGAGCAGTGTGTGCAAGGACCTGGTTCTAGGCTGGGCAGAGAGAAAGCAGGCCTTGAGGCAATGAGGGGCAGATAGATGGGTCCCCATGAGTGAAGGATGTGGCAGTGGGGTACTGAGGCACAGATGGTGGTGTCCAGAGAAAGGGATGCTCCGAATGGAGATACAGAAGGTCATGTCTTTGCTGGTGGTGACCTGGAGGGTAGGTGGCTGAGGCGTGGGGAGGAAATGGTGACCAGCAGTGAGGAAGACAAGGACATAAGAGGCTAGGGGTACCCACCCAGCTGATGGGGTTGAGGGAGGGGAAGAGAGTTAAGCCCACTGTGTAAGAAGCAGGAGGGTGGCCAGGCTAGCTACAGAGACGGTGCTGGGGGTGCTGCCTCGGGCAAGGCCACCTGTGCCTGGGCTGAGAGCAGGGGCTGTCAGGAAGGGGCAGCAGGGGGAGGAAGGCCTGCCTACCACCTGGCTCTTCATCAGCTGTGGGGGAAGCGGGACAGGTCCCTGGAGAGCAGAGGAGATGAATGGCCGCACTTGCGGGTGGGAAGGTTGGGAGTGGGTGGGAACTGAGGGTAACACAGACTGGAGGCTCACCCTCTGCAAGCAGCTGAGGGTTCATGGTGGGGGGGGCACATGCAATTGTCCTAATATCTCTGTTTTTCCAATGAAACTTGGGGAAGGGATTGGGGGCATCCATTCCTTTCAGGCATGCTCACCCCAGAATCCAAGCTGGGAGAGGCTGGGCTGTGACCCACCACATACCCACTTGGTGGCACTTGCTGCATGCACATCACGCAGGCATCAGCCTGGGGCTCACAGTCTGTCACCGGGACATGGTGTTTTGCTCCATACATGTGTCCTTATTTCTGCCTGTTTTGTTGGGTTCAGTCCTCTCCACTTCTGAGCTGTGTCATCTTTGCCTGGATGGTGCTTCCTCCATGAAGCCTCCCTAATTTCCTCCATCAGAAGCAATCACTGGAGCGTCTCCCACTGCCCTGCCTCTTTGTACTGTGGGTGCCTGGTTGCTGCCTGTCTCCTCTGGAGGCTGCAGCTTCTTCTGGTGGCCCTGCTGCCCAGCACAAGGCGTTCTGCAGATCCCTCTTTGCCCACGAGATGGCGCCGGAGGCCTGTGTCTGGACTCCTTGATCCGCGCATTGGGGGCACCCTTGGGGTCTTTCTCCCCTGTAGCTGGCAAGCAAGCGGCCTCTAGAGAAGATTCTTACCACTCTCCCTAAATTGGGAAACTGAGGCCCAGAGAGAGAGGAGACCTGACCGAGGCCACATAAGTTAACAGTAGAGTTTGGACTCGGAGCCCTGGCCCCAGGCTCTTACTACAGTGTGGAGTAGGCCACCCCCAACACTCTGGCTCGGTAGACCCAGCCTTCCTGCAGCCCCAGCTGGGGATCTGGCTGAGCTCAGTCCCCCAGGGTGGGCTGGCAGGCTGAGGCGTGGTTGGGCCTCTAGCCCACAGCGGGTGGCCACATGCCTTCTGACGGGCTGTCCCCTTCAGTCTCTAGCTAGACACGGCCCCCAGCCTGGGCTACATGCCCAAATATTCCACCAAGGTCAAGGGCTATAACCACTGTCACGGCAGCCTCTGCACACATACTGCTCAGTAGTTTGTATCTTTCCTTTCTGTTGTTGCTGCTCACCAGTCTATAACAGCTGGCTACACCCAAGGTGGCTTGTAGCTGGCCCTGAGAGGAGGAGACAGACCCAGAGAGAGAAGGCCTTGGCCAGGGATCTCCAGCAGTGCCAGGGGCAGGGGTGGGCATGGGGGTGGGTCTCTGGGAAGAACCCACCACTGACCTGGGTCTCTGGAAGGACTGGAGGCCTGAGAGAGGCAGAGAAATGGGGGGGTCCCCCTTAGTATGGAGTGGATTCTGCCCCCTGCCCCAAAGCAAGCCCAGTGAGCTGAGATGGGGCCTGGTGGCTATGGGAGGGGCTGTGGGGCCTGGAGGGCAGATGGAGGCAGTCCTGGGTGGGAGAAGCTGAGCATTTTTGCCAATCCCAGATTTGTGAAGTGTGGCCAGACCTCAACCCCCTGCCCAGGACATGGAGCCCCTTGTGATGGGAATGACACCACCACCACCCCCACCGCCCTGCAGACAGCTTGGGCCCTGCCAGGGGAGCCTACCTAAGGCTTCAGGGGGGCTGGACCATCCTGGTATTGGGGACCTGGCCAGGGCCAGTTTGTGGGGGTCTCTGCCATGGGCACTTGAAGGGTAGGGAACAGAGCAGATCCCAGCCAGACCTCCACCCAGCCCATCAACCTCTGACCTCTGATCCCTGACCTCCCTTTCAGACTATGTCCCATATAGTCACTTTTCTGGAGCTGGGAGACCTGCATGTATGAATATCTCTCTGTGCAAACTGTCCACAGCGCAGATGGGAAAGTCTCCCCTGTGGAGACCTGGGCAATCTGACACAACGGCATGCACTGGGCAGCCAAGGTGGAGGGAGAAGCTGCAGGTGGATGGCCTGGGCTCTGCCTCCTCCCCTCCTCCTCCTGCCTTCCCACCCAGTGACTGGGTGGAGCCACTGCCTTATAAGTGGCTGGCCTGGTGGCAACAGAGCAAACTACAGCCAGCTGTGGGACTGGAGGGCTGCTCTGCAGGCAGTGGTGCTCTGGGTTCCCCAGCATGGCCCCCTCAGCCTGGGCCATCTTCTGCCTCCTGGGGGGCCTCCTGCTCTGTGGGGGTAACCCCAGCCCCGGCGTGCCCCGCCTGAGGCTCTCCTACCGAGGTACTGGCCACTGCTTGCTCTGTTTGTGTGTGTGTCTGTGGGTGTCCCAGGCTCTGCCGCACTCCCAGCCGGCCGGAGGGGATGGAGCCAGCCACTCCACTCCGTGCACAACTCTCGGGAAGGTGGGGGAGGCAGGTCCTGAGAGACATGACCAGGGCAGAGGGGGAGAGACATGGGGGAAAAGCCACAGGGGGCTGCTGGGGGGCCGTGGGAGACCTCAGTAGAGACGGGAGGGGACCGGGGACTGTGGGAGTCCTGAGGGGAGAGGGCATGTCTGGAGGGTCTGTCTGGGCCCAGCAGCTCTTTGCCCAGGGTGGCCCATGGGGCCGCATGCCATCCCTCTGGTCCTCCAGCTGCAGGGACGGGGAAGAGGCCCCCTTGCAACCCACATCCTAAAGTTGGCTTTTTCAGGCCCCTCCATCCTGGAAGCTCTGCACAGCCCAGGGGAGTTCCAGCCTCTCCTCCTTGGCCACCCAGCTGGGGCTTTCCTCTGTGCTCTCCTGGGTGTGTCGTGCTGTAGCTGGCTCAGGCCTCCACTAATGGGCCGTGGGGAAGGGTCCCTGAGACACAGGCTGGGCAGGTTCTTCTTCTTGGGGAAACCAGAGGCGTGATCACCTTCCCCTGGGAACCCCAATCAAGAGGGACACAGGCCTGCTATGGAGACTCTGTGGGGGCGTCATGCCACCCTGGAAAGTCTGAGGAGGAGTATGGTCCTGTCCCAGGAGCTGTGTTTTGGGGGGGAGGTCAGGCTGCTAGAAAAAGCCCTAAATAGAGAAAGTTCCCCAAAGTGCTGTCATCCATGAGGGCTTCCTGGGAGAGGGTATCGATGAGTTTTGGGGGAGGGGTGGGTGCTGGGCCCAGCTGCCCCTGTGGGGAAGGTATAGGGTGCTCTGGGCCTTCCCACAGCCCATGCCCCCTTCTCGCATCATCCTACTGCCTGCCCCATCACCTCCCCCTCCCCAGCCAAACCTTAAGGGCCTCAACTCCTGAGACCAATGTCACTAGACAGCCTCCTCCTGCCTCTGGAGCTTGGCTGGGCAGCATCTACGAGGAGAAAATCCTCTTGGCCACAGCTCCGGACTGGAGTCAGGAGCCTCCCAGCCACACCTGCCCTTCCCCACACTAGGCTGTTGCCTGGGGTTCCTTCTGCTGGGAGCGCCCTCCCCTGCGGCCCCGGCTGAGCCAGGCGGCAGGCTGCTTACTCCTCCATCCTGTCTCAGTGCTTTGCCCAGTTTGCTGCCCTAATTTCTGCCCATGGGGCTGTCTTCCTTGGGGACTGGGAGGGCACAAATGGGACAGTGGGAAGATGTCAGCTGAGAGATGAGGACTAAAGAACGGAGGAGTGGCAGCAGGCCCCGGTAGACTGGGCTGAGTGGGCGGCTCAGAGCCTCCTATCCCACTCGCCCCCAGGAGCCATGCTCCGAAAGCCCTGCAGCACTGCTGTGGATGGAAACATGTTCCAGATGTGAGTGTGTGGGGCGCCTGCACAGCTGGGACCCTCCGCTCCACTCCTTGGCTGGGAAGTAGGCCGAGGAGCCCTAACGCGCCCTCTGCCTCCTCCTAGACCTCCTGTCTGCCAACCGCTCTGCCGTCTTCCTGGGCCCCCGGGGCTCGCTGGACCTCCAGGCCATGTACCTGGACGAGTACCGAGACCGCCTCTTTCTGGGGGGACTTGACACCCTCTACTCTCTGCGGCTGGACCAGGCCTGGCCAGATCCCCGGGAGGTGAGCTGGGCTGAGAGGGAAGAGCATCTGTCTGGGAGCTGGGCACCTCCAGCTGGGAGGCCGGATGAGGAAACTGAGGCTGTGAGGCCAGGGGAGTACCTGAAGTCAGCCAGGCTGTGTTTCAGGTCCTGTGGCCGCCACAGCCAGGACAGAGGGAGGCATGTGTTCGAAAGGGAAGAGATCCTTTGGTGAGTGCTGCTGGGAAGGACTGTCCCCCAACCCAACCCCAGGCCTGCCCCCAGGTGCCTCTGCTGAGGGGCATTTGGAACAGATCCTGAGGGCTTCTGGAGGTCTGTGACGAATGTCAGCCCCACCCCTTCTCCAGAGCTGATCACAAGGCGGGGCTGAGCCCCAGTGGGTGGTGGGCACCCCTCTCACCCCTGCCACACCCCCTCCCTGACAGACGGAGTGCGCCAACTTCGTGCGGGTGCTGCAGCCCCACAACCGGACCCACCTGCTGGCCTGTGGCACCGGGGCCTTCCAACCCATCTGTGCCCTCATCACGGTCGGACACCGTGGGGAGGTGAGCCTGGGCTGGGCCCCCAAGTGGCTGGGAGGCAGTGACATTTTCTCCTGCTGCATGAACGCTTCCCATTGAGTCTGGGTAGGGACAGAGGGGCAGGGGCCTGAAAGGCGCCTTTGTGCCAGAGAGCTGACCCGTCAGAGAGGCCCTGAAGGAGGGTATCTTCCGCCACCCCCACTCTCCAGCCGCACGCAAGGGCCACTGCCCCGGTGTGGGAGGGCTGGTGATCCTTTCCCAGGTGACGCCTCCCTCCCTCCCTCCCTCCCTCCCTAGCACATGCTCCGCCTGGAGCCCGCCAGTGTGGAGGGTGGGCGGGGGCGGTGCCCCCACGAGCCCAGCCGTCCCTTCGCCAGCACCTTTGTAGGTGAGTGATGCCCAGGCTGGGGGGCAGGGGGGTGGGCGGGAGATGGTTTATGTCTCTGGAGAGGGCGGGCATGGGCCTGCTGCTGGGCCTGGGCCTCCTCCCTGACTCTGCCCCCACCTCCACGCCAGGCGGGGAGCTATACACAGGCCTCACTGCTGACTTCCTGGGGCGAGAGGCCATGATCTTCCGAAGTGGGGGTCCTCGACCAGCCCTGCGCTCTGACTCCGACCAGAGCCTCTTGCATGGTGAGGCCTGCTGGGGCAGGGCTGGCTGGGCTCTGCCCCTGGACTGGTAGGAGAGGAGGTGCTGGAGACGGGAGGAGAGGCTACGTCCCCCCTGCGCGCCAGCCTCCTGGGGACCCCTGCTTTCCCTTCCACTCTGGGCTCAGCCCCATCCTCCCCTGTGCCCCCTCCCCGCCAGTGTAACCCTGTCACCCTCCCAGAACCCCAGTTTGTGATGGCCGCCCGGATCCCTGACAACTCCGACCAGGACAATGACAAGGTGTACTTCTTCTTCTCGGAGACTGTCCCTTCCTCTGATGGCAGCCCAGGCCATGTCACCATCAGCCGCGTGGGCCGAGTCTGTGTGGTGAGAGCTGTGAAGGGGTAGTGAGGTTCATGTCCTTGCCTTTCCCAGGCCTGTATCCCTGACAGCAGTAGGGAAACTGAGGCAAGGATGCAGAGCTGATGTGCCTACCTCTCCCGCATGGGTGAAGGTGGAGGAGTGGGCAGTGGGCCTATCCTCAGGGGGCCCCAGGCTGACAATGGTCCCCACCCTCAGAATGATGCTGGTGGCCAGCGGGTGCTGGTGAACAAATGGAGTACCTTCCTCAAGGCCAGGCTGGTGTGCTCGGTGCCCGGCTCTGCAGGTGCTGAGACCCACTTTGACCGGCTGGGTAAGGGTGTGCCCAAGAAGGCCTGGGTGCTGGGCATGGGAGGGGCTGGGCGTGGGGGACTCAGAGCTGGTGAGCAGGGGCATCAGCAGGGGCCATGATGCTGCGCTCCCTTCTGTGTCCCAGAGGACGTGTTCCTGCTGTCGCCCAAGGCCGGGAAGAGCCTTGAGGTGTATGCGCTGTTCAGCACCGTCAGGTAGGCACACCCCACCTCCCTGCCCCCCACCACCATGGTTCCCCGGTGAGCTGCTGCCATCTCGCTCCAACTGGGCAATGGGTGCCTGTCTTTGTCCTTGATTCGGCGACCTGCGACTGCATTCTCTGTCTCCTTCTCTCTGCCTTTGCCTTGGTGTCCTTGCTTTTCAGAGTCTCTGCTTGCTACAAGCGCTGTCACCCCTGTCCAGCCTGTGGACCCAGGCCACCCCTTTCCTGCCTATGGTGACCACTCCGGCCTGACTATCCCTGTCTGTCCTTGGCAGCGCTGTGTTCCAGGGCTCTGCCGTCTGTGTGTACCACATGGCAGACATCTGGGAGGTCTTCAACGGGCCCTTTGCCCACCGAGAGGGCCCTCAGCACCAGTGGGGGCCCTACGGAGGCAAGGTGCCCTTCCCCCGCCCTGGCGTGGTGAGTCTCTGAGCGGGCCAGGCCAGGGAAAGAGGGTATCCTCCTCAGAACAGCCCTGTGTCCACGTGTAGTCCCCAGGCAGTGGGCGGCAGCTGAGCTTGGGCTCCAGAGGGCCTGGCAGGCTGGGGATGGGGGAGAAGAACCCCCCACAGCAAGAGTGGTTCCCTGTCAGGGGTAGAAACAGGCTGGGGGACAGCGTGTGATCCCAGGATCCTTTAGGGCTCCCTTTGCTGCCCACAGTGCCCCAGCAAGATGACCGCGCAGCCAGGGCGGCCCTTTGGCAGCACCAAGGACTACCCAGACGAGGTGCTGCAGTTCACCCGAGCCCACCCACTCATGTTCCGGCCTGTGCGGCCTCAGCATGGCCGCCCTGTCCTTGTCAAGACCCACCTGGCTCAGCAGCTGCGCCAGATTGTGGTGGACCGTGTGGAGGCGGAGGATGGCACATACGACGTCATCTTCCTGGGGACTGGTAAGAGGACTGAGTTGGGGTGGCCAGACTGGGGAGGGGTGCAGGGTGCTGGACTCCCCCCTCCTCTTCCACTGACTGCCCCTCCCCTGCCCCAGACTCAGGCTCTGTGCTCAAAGTCATTGCTCTCCAGGAAGGGGGCTCGGTAGAGCCTGCAGAGGTGGTTCTGGAGGAGCTCCAGGTGTTTAAGGTGAGCAGGGGCTGATGTCCCTGGGTCTGGGCCTGGCTACAGGGGAGTAGGAGGAGCGCACAGGAGGGAGCCGGCCTGTCTGTTGCGTTTGGGGAGAAGGGATGGGGGCGGGGCTGAAAGCAATGGCCTCACTGAGCAGGCCGCTCTAAGGCCTTGCCAACGACAGTGGCTCTGAATGACTGTAGGCCTGGTGCTGCAGTCTGCGAGCTGAAGGTGGTCAAGGTGCCGGGGACAGATGGCCAACGGAGCGCCCCTTGACAAAGCCCCGACGGGCTCAAGTTTCAATGAGGAGGTGGCTGAGACCCTAAATCCCCCAGGGGTCCTTGGACCCTCTGTAGACTCAAGCAGAGTCTTCCGTGTGGGGGACGGCTGTGCCTCCTGGGCCTGAACTGGGAGATTGGGACAGCTGCCCCACAGCTGTGGGACAGGGCTGCGGGCGGGGGCGCAAGAGCTCTGTGCTTTAGCCAAGCCTCCTGCTTGGAGGCCAGCCAGGACCAGGGGGCCTTTCTTGGAACCCACTGGGAAAGACTATCTAGCCTTAGTTGCCAGAGGGTGTGTGAGCCAGGCTGGGAACTGGGTGGCTTCCACCCCAGGGGTTGGAGAAGGCTGAAAGCAGGGGTGCAGAGGAGGGTCTCATGCCACCCACCCCGCGCTGAGACTCTGCTCCTTCCCCAGGTGCCGACCCCCATCACTGAGATGGAGATCTCTGTCAAAAGGGTAAGAGCAGCTGCACCCTTCTCTGCCCTGGGCGCAGGCCCTTGAGCACTGCTGCGGGCTGCGGAAAGCTGTGTGCGCAGGCCTGATTTGCCCACGCAGCGAGTGGCCGGAACGGCTGGGAGCTGACAGTCACAGGCATGAAATGAGGGCTCAATGGGAGGTGCCCTGAGCTGCATTCAGATAATGGGCTAGCCACAAAGACCAGTTCATAAGGAGGCGAAAGTGTGCTTGAAAACAAAATCCAGATTTAAAATCAAACAAGGGAGCTCCTTTTTTTTTTTTTTTTTTTTTTTTTTTTCTGAGACAGAGTCTCACTGTGTTGCCTGGGCTAGAGTGCCGTGGCGTCAGCCTAGCTCACAGCAACCTCCAACTCCTGGGCTCAAGCGAACCTTCTGCCTCAGCCTCCCGAGTAGCTGGGACTACAGGCATGTGCCACCATGCCTGGATAATTTTTTCTATATATTTTTAGTCGGCCAATTAATTTCTTTCTATTTTTAGTAGAGAAGGGGTCTTGCTCTTGCTCAGGCTGGTCTTGAACTCCTGACCTTGAGTAATCCTCCTGCCTCGGCCTCCTAGAGTGCTAGGATTACAGGCGTGAGCCACCGCGCCCCGCCAAGGGAGCCTCTTTTTAGAGGCCTACTGTATTTGCCAAGTAATAAATCCCATCTCCCCAAGTTGATCTACCCCAGTCTATCCTTAGGTAAATCCCATCTTTTGTACTGTGATTGCTTACAGCAAGGTGCACCTCTAAGGTCAGAGGCAAGTCAGGATGAAGGCCACTGGGGTAGCGGGGAAAGGTCAGCAGCAAGGAGGGCCTGAAGAAGCCCCCTAAAGAAAAGACCCTGGGTCTGTCCTGTCCCCTCCATGTCATGACACAGGACCTGGTATATAGCAGATAGGTGATAAACACTTTATTTTGTGAATGAACCCAGGAGGTTCTGGAAGAGTTCCTATGAGTGGCAGGGGTCCCAGGAAGCCAAGAGGGCTGGGAACCTGACTGCTTCTGGGCAAAGCCTGGGCTCACCATGGGCTCTGCCCGTGTCCCTCCCCAGCAAATGCTCTATGTGGGCTCTCGGCTGGGTGTGGCCCAGCTGCGGCTGCACCAGTGTGAGACTTATGGCAGTGCCTGTGCGGAGTGCTGCCTGGCCCGGGACCCATACTGCGCCTGGGATGGCACCTCCTGTACCCGCTACCGCCCCAGTCCCAGCAAGCGCCGGTTCCGCCGGCAGGACATCCGGCATGGCAACCCTGCCCTGCAGTGCCTGGGCCAGAGCCAGGAAGGTGAGTGGCAGAAGGGTGGGGGCATGGGCTGGGCTCTACAGGGCCCTCACTCGCCCCTATGGCCTGGGCTCAACTCCTGTGAAGTGTGTTCTCAGGCTGGTCCTGTTGTAACAAACAGTCCTCAGTTTCCCTACCTGTGAAGCTCCTGGCAGTGCATGGGTAAAGGGTCTCTGGACACAGTGACTGGCCTGGGGTGGTCAATGAATGCCTAGGTCTTTGTCACACTGGTCGGGGATCCTGGGCTATAGGAGTCAGTGGTGGCTTTGGGGCCTGGGTCCCATCATTCTCAACCTGAGCCGACCTCTGCCCCTCTCCAGAAGAGGCTGCGGGACTTGCAGTCACCACAGTCTACGGCACAGAGCACAACAGCACCTTCCTGGAGTGCCTGCCCAAGTCTCCCCAGGCTGCTGTGCACTGGTTCTTGCAGAGGCCAGGGGATGAGAGGCCTGACCAGGTGAGTGAGGACCCTATTACCAGCCCCCATGTGTCCTGAGGTCACCTCCCTCCCTGAACCCCAAGTCCCGAGCTCTAGGGAGATGATCTGGGGGGAACCTGTCAAGCTTAATCTAAGAAAAGTGTGTATTAGACCCATGGGGTGCCTAGAAGGAGGCGCCCCTATTCTACCATCTGGGAACATCCAGCCAGTGTGGCTGGAAGCCCCTCTGAGAGGTGGACAGCAGACATGGAAGGAAATCCCCTGTGCTCACACCTGTGGCCCATCCCTGAAGGGGTCTCTTCCCAGGTATTCTTGTTCTTCCTCTGCCCCAGGCCTGAGTCCCTGACCACTGGCCCTTGCACCCCACAATACGTGGCTCCACACTTCCTCCTTAGAGTCCAGCTGTCTGCCCAGGCCCTCTCCTCCCCCACCCGGAAAGGTCTGTCAACCCCAGAGATGGCTTCAGTCTGGGGCCTGAGGATGGGCGTGGGCAGGGCAGGGTGAGCGGCCCTTCCCCCACAGGGGAGGGCAGGGGAGGGAGGGGTTGATTACAGGAGGGGCTCTCCCTCTGGCTTGGGAACTGGGGGAGGCCAGCCTTGGACCAGCTGTTGGGCTGGGCACCGAGAAGACTCCCCAGGGGAGAAGGCTGCAACAAGATGAAGTTACACAACATTAACTGCCAAAGCGACCCACCCTCAGCATGCTCAGTGAAGCCCAGACGGGGTTCAGGGAGAGGGGTCAGAGCAGCACTCCTGCCTCCCATGCTGTGGTGGGCACTCAACCCACCCTGGGCTGGGGCTGTTGCTCCCATGTGGGGGCAGTGAACCGTGCAGGCCACGACAGAGGAAGCCCAGTGTGCCCACATGCGTTGGGGGTGGGGGTATACAACCGTGTACATGCGTGTATGGACTAGAGGGAGGTCCTGAAGCCTAGTCCTGGGGCAGGGGGTGCAGCCCCTCCCCTGAGTAGAGCCTGTAGATACCCTCTTAACGCCTGTGCTTCCTGGGAACGTGTGCCAGAGCCCTACAGAGCCAAGGTTGGTGTTCCCTGAGTAGGGGAGACCCCAGTCCGTTGAATCTTTGAAAAGGCCTTTGGCAGGCCCTGTCCTGGGGCTCTGGGAAGATGCGGCCCTGCCTGCAATTAGCTCACAGTCTAGAGGAGGCCGCGCTGGCACACTGGTCCCCTCCTGAAGAGGGGAGACTGGGCAAGGGGAAGTGCCCAAGCACTGGGCCCAAGGATGGCAAATTTGGCAAAGCCGGGGGTAGAGAAGCTGACAGTGCATGTCCTGCCCTGCACTCTGCTCACACCCTCTGCCCACCTGGCAGGTGAAGACGGACGAGCGAGTCCTGCACGTGGAGCAGGGGCTGCTGTTCCGCAGGCTCAGCCGCCTCGACGCAGGCACCTACACCTGCACGACGCTGGAGCACGGCTTCTCCCAGACTGTGGTCCGCCTGGCTCTGGAGGTTATTGAGGCCTCGCAGCTGGACAGCCTGTTCCCTCAGGAGCCAAGGCCAAAGGAGCCCCCAGCCCGGGGAGGCCTGGCCCCCGCTGCCCCCAAGGCCTGGTACAAGGACATCCTGCAGCTCATCGGCTTCTCCAACCTGCCCCGGGTGGACGAGTACTGCGAGCGTGTGTGGTGCCGGGGCAGCGGGGAGTGCTCGGGCTCCCTCCGGACCCGGGGCCGAGGCAAGCAGGCCAAGGGCAAGAGCTGGGCAGGGCTGGAGCTGGGCAAGAAGATGAAGAGCCGGGTGCAGGCCGAGCACAACCGGACGCCCCGGGAGGTGGAGGCCACATAGGCAGAGGGGGGACGGTCAGGACGGGCCGGGGAGCCCAGTAGCAGCCCGTAGCATCTCCCACCCAGCCAGCCAGGGCAGAGGAGGCCAGGACGTCTGACCGCCTCTTAGAGACGAGTGTCTCTGCCCCCACACCTCTACCGGGCCACCTCTAGAGAAGACTGGGGGTCTAGTGGAGGGCCTGTGTCTGAGCCTGTTCCCTACCCCTCTGTGCTCTCAGTCTCAGGCTGGAGCCAGCACCCTCCGGCCACTGGCAGCCCCATGGGACCTGCCATTTGTTCTCAGAGATGGCCTGGCTTCCCGAGCTCATTTCCGGTTGTGCCCAGAGGCAAGAGGGTTGGGTGGTTCTTTCCCAGCCTACAGAACAATGGCCATCCTGAGTGACCCTCAGATGGGGTGTGTTGGGTGGGTCTGAGGGGGGAATCTGGGTGAGGGCCCTCAGGCAGCCAGAGGAGATGGAGACAGCCTCTAAGGTAGCACCCTTTAAGAAGGGACTACCGACTGAGAACCTGGGGAGGGAAAGTGGGGATGTCGAGAAGGTGGAGCAGCAAGGCTCCTTTGATCCATATCATGCCTCGATGCCCTGGTGTTCTTGGCATGGCCCACCTCCTCTTCTCCATCTCAGAATCACAGAGGCACGGACTGCTAGAGCCCCCCGGGACCTGGGGTGGTCAGGGCCTTAGGCTCCACTTTGGGCCAGGTTTGCTGGGATGCCACACCCCCAATAGGACCCCCTCCCACCATCAAGGTCTCCATGCAGATGAGCAGGGAGGGGTGAGCTCCAGGGGAATGTCATCCCTCATCTCTGTGGACCAGAGGTGCGAGGAGGAGCTGGGGAAGTGTGGGACTGGGAGGAGTGGGCTGTCTCCTGGGGCGATGCAAGCACGTCTCAGCCCTGGGAGGGGGAACAGGAAGGTCTGAGAGCTGTAGCTGGTCCTGAAGATCAGGGCCAGGGCCACAGAGGACTGGGGAGGCTATTGAGATGGAGAGAGGGCAGGATACTCTTAGGATGGCCCTGGGACCCAGGCAGGAATAGTGTCCTTAAGGAGTCAAGATGACATCAATTAGCTCAGGAGCCACGGGAAGGCCAGAGGTTTCCAACCCTGGCATCTCTATTTTCTGCTAAGTAAGGGCCAGGCATAGATGATGTATTTAGGAAGATTTTTTTGTCTTATAAAGGGAAAAAAGGTAGAGGAAAAAGCTAGAAACTGTAAGTCCTGCTGATTCTTGGGGGTGAGGCTTGGATGGCAAGGGCACTTTCTGCCTGGGCATGTAGGGGAGGTGTTTTGCCATCAGCAGTTTCTCAGGCTGGGGAACACAGAGGGGGAGGAGGAGAACTAAATGAAAAGTTGTTCCCAGCCTTCATATGAACAAATTAGTGACGCACAAAACTGACTGGGGGAGCCAGGAGTATAGGGTTTGAGATTCTATTAAAAAACCAAGACAAAGAAAGGAGGCAAAAAAGAGAGAAAAAGCAAGACAAGGCTTCCTGTCTCACTGAAACTCAAACCCAGACTACCTGGGTCTTATCTCCCCCCACCCGACACCCCCAGAGAACTGGGATCTGGACTAGCCCTGGGCCCCTTTGGCTGTGCAGTAAGTGAACCGGAAGCACAGAGACGAACCCAACAGCACCTTGAGAACCTGCTTCAGGAGTGTCAGCAAGTGGGGCGCAGGGGCGAGGAGGAAGGGGCCTGAGAGCAGAAGGGAGTAGAGAGTGCCAGAAAGAAACAGCCAGGCCCTCAGGGGTCTTTAGGCTGGTCCCAGACTTAGGGGAAGTGACCCTGGAAAGTGATGGGAGAAGAAGTACGAGATCCTGAACAGTGAACACCTGCACTTGGAACAACATGGACAGCTCCTCCCAGCCGTGCCCCTCCCATGGTACTGTGTGTTACTCTTAGAAATGCCCCGTGTGAGAATTCTGTTTCTGTGTTTGTATGTTGAGAAGGGCCTTGTGGTTTCTCTGTTTTTAGGACATACTTCTTGTAATTACTATTATTTTTATAGTCATGACTTCCCTTGAGCTCTGGTAAGGAAAACCGAACTGATGAGGAAAATATTTACATCACATAATTATATCATTATTGTATCTGTGTATTTCTGTACTAAACTCACTGATGCCATGTTCACGAGCTGGAAATGAGGCACCCTCTCCATGAGGCAGAAGGTCACGCTGGGTGGTATTTTCTAGGAGGGAAGGAGATGAGTATGGGGGAGGAAGGAGTCAGAGGGCTTTGTCTATGAAGCGGAGATTGCTCATTAAATTAGGAAAATCCTGCCCTGCAGGCTTGTGAGACTGACCTTCTTGGAGCTTCAGGAAGATCTTGAGCCAGAAGGAAAAAAAAATGCTGGCAAAGGGCAGCTGGGCACGTAGGCAGCTCTGCTCGTTTTTCACAACACTTGACATTTGTAACAGCGACACTTGGCCTGATTCCTGCCGTCATCCCAAGCCACATACCAATGGATAGTAAAGCCACTGTGCTCATGCCTGGGCTCCCAGGGCTGTGCTGTGGGGGCTGCAGCTTCTGGGGAAGAGGGGAAGCTCCAGAAAGCCCCCCTGACCATGGCTTCCACTGCCCTAGGGACATGATGCCCCCTGCCTAAAGAGCACCCACTGGTGCTGCAGGGAGATGGAAAACTGCAGTGTACTTTAGGGATGGGAGACACATTGCCCCATCTTCCCAGGGAGACTGCCCTGGCCTCTTGCTTGGATGGTCCCCTCAATCCATGCTGTAGACTAGGGGTCAGTTAGCAGTCCCATCTGGCAGCCGCAGGCCTGGAGCTGGGCCCTTCCTTTTGTCCCTTGCCGTCCGTAAACACCCAGGGCTGACAGAACCGGAACCCTGTTACTCCATCCCAAGCTGTCGTCATCACCACCATCTGAGAAGCATCATCAGAGCATCTTTTTGGCACAGAGTACTGGGCTGGGAGGGGTGTGCGAATGTGGCATCTGCAGCCCCTTCTCACCTCAAGCACCACCCTCCTGGGGATGGCCCAGCCATCACTGCCACCCATGCCTGGAAGACCCTCCAGACCAGACTTCCCCCTGGCCTCCCTCCTTTTCCCCTCCCATCTTGAGCCCTGTTTCCTGCCTCAGCGATTTCACCCTCTCTCTCTCATCCCCTCACAGCTCTTTCCTCTAAGTCGCATGCTTCCTCTGATCTTTGGGCCTCTATTTCCTGATTCCCCAAACAGCTTTACAGCTGGAAAAGGGCTTAGAGACAGACTAGTTGAGAGTTTCCAAAATGGTGTCTGTGAAACAATAATCCCATCAGATCTTCCACATCTCCTGATGTCTGTGGTCAAATGAGTCGGAGGATTTCTGGCCCCTTCTCCCCCACGGAGCAGTATGCTGCCTGCTTGCTTGCGCCTGAAGGTCCTGAGAAGTCATGTGATGCTCTCTCACTAATTGCATGCCTACTATGTGCTACGTGATTTCCCAGAACATTTGGTTCTTCCTCTTTTTTTTTTTTTTTGAGACAGAGTCTCGCTTTGTTGCCCAGACTAGAGTGAGTTCTGTAACGTCAGCCTAGCTCACAGCAACCTCAAACTCCTGGGCTCAAGCGATCCTCCTGCCTCAGCCTCCTGAGTAGCTGGGACTACAGGCATGTGCCACCATGCCCGGCTAATTTTTTCTATATATATTAGTTGGCCAATTAATTTGTTTCTATTTATAGTAGAGACGGGGTCTCAATCTTGCTCAGGCTGGTTTCGAACTCCTGGCCTTGAGCAATCCGCCCACCTCGGCCTCCCAGAGTGCCAGGATTACAGGCGTGAGCCACCGCGCCCGGCCCCTCTCTCTCTTTTTTTTTTTTTTGATCATGAAGCAGCTTCTTATGTTTCCAACACTTTGAAGAACACACTTTGGGAAAATGCTGATTAGATTCGTTTTCTCCCTTAACACATGAGATTAATTTATTAATCTCTGTCTTCCAAACCTATAAACTCTGCAGGCTCTGACCTTCCAGATGGAAGATCATCTTGTTTTTTATGGCCCTCGCTGGAGTAGAATCTACCACCCCTAGACAGAGCTGCCAAGCTGTGAGTCTGCTGACCCTTGGGCCGGGACCCTGCCCTCTCTCTGGTTCTCATCCTGCCACTCCCAGCCTACTGCCAGCCCCTCCTGTGTCTGGCATGGTCCTCTATGGAGGGCTAGGATTCACCCCAAGCTCGTGGCTGTCCTGCAATCCAATGGACTAGTTTCTAAGGAAGGTAGAGGACAGGAAAAGGTCAGAAAAAGGGAGGAAAACAGCCCTTTTCACATTCTCAAATGGCTTCTGTGCTTCTCTTTCATTTAGCTAAGCTTGGATCAGGTCCTAGACATCCTAGAATCCCCTGCTTGGAGGAGTAGGCAGGTAGCCCCCACCAGGAGTCTGACCTTCCCCCTGGCTATTTTCTCTGTGTGCTGGCAGGGGCCGGGCCCCATGTACTGGCTCACATGCCTCTGCTGATCCGGCAAACTGAGGCTTCTCTGGCCAGCCACATCATCTTAGAACTGGGAGATAGTTGCTCAGAAATAGCTCAGTTTCCATCTGAGTTAAGGACCCATCCAAGCCTCACCTAAGTCCTGAGCTACAGAGGCTTCCACAAGGAGAAGGTTCAACACACACAAGGAACAAATCCCCAGGGTTTTCTATGACTACAGACTCGGAGTGGGTGGGTAGGGCTTGGCTTGGACACAATGCCTGATAAGGAGCCTGGGAATTGTCGGGCCTCCACCCTGGCTCCTCTTCCGTACTCGCCCACCCCTCTGTACAGACGATGAGGCAAGGCAGCTGAGGCCCTGTGCCCACTTCCCACTGCCAGCCCCTGCCCACCTTTGCTGTGGTCACCACTGCTGGGCCCACTCGCTTAGAGGCTGAGTCCTAATAAAGCCTTTCACTTTCCCTGCTGGAGTTTCATTAAGGAAACCCCTGGTTCCTCATGTAGCTTTTTAAAAACTCATTCTCTACTGAGCATGGAAACTGCTGCAAAGTCCCCAGGGAGGTAAAGGATGCTGGCTGTTGTCATGCCAGGCTTCCAGGAACTAACTAATAGCCTCCACTCAGGGGCTCTGCTGATGGGAGGACTCAGGTGACCAGTCTTGACCTTTCTACCCCAGGGAGGAAGATGACAGAGTGCACCCTAATTCAGCCAGTGGGGCGTGTTTCACTGCCAGGAATATCCCACTGGGCACAGAGGGATGACCAGGGCAAGGGGATAGTTGTGGGCTGACAGGATTCCAAAGCAACTCAACAGAGGTCTGGAGCAAAGTCCAGGTGTCTGCCTTCAAATGGAGGGGACTGTACTAGGGACACTTGAAGCCTGGACTGACAGAGGGCAAGGTGGGCCTTGCTCTCACAGATAAAGGTGGAGAAATATGACATGTCAGACCAGCAGCTTGCTCTATGGACATGATCTCATCTGTTCACCCCTCCTCCCCTGCCCCCAGCTGATAAGAATCTGGTGCTGTTTCCTGTAGTCCAAGGGTCTCAGACAATGGTGTGAATGCTGGCTCTACTGGAAAAGACATTGTTCGGGGAAGAAAAAACAACATACCAACACAAAGCCAGGGCAGGACCTGTCTAAATGCAAGGGCCTGTTTACAAATCCATGATTTCTAAGGGGAGGAACACAATGGGGGATTGTTTTGGTGAGGATGGTGTCCCCTCCAGTATGCTCCTGGGGGCTGGGGATGGCTTTGATGGGCCAGACAGGTCTCAGATGCTCTGAAAGGATGGACGCCGATGGCGTGGACACCTTCCTGTTTATCAGGGATGCATGCAGGGCAGGGTCAAGAAGCCAGTTTACACCAAAGACTCGAGGCAGGACTCCTGGCCTCGCCGTTTCCATCTGGGCCTCTTGCTGTCATGCTGCTCAAGGATCCCAGGGCTAGAAGTGAGGGCAAGGTTTTCATTTTTTGTTTTGGGAAAAATACCAGCTCTTCAGTTTATAGCCTCCAATTGTCATGTTGCTTTTTGGAAAAAATGTACAAGGCACGAGACCTTTGCAAATGGCCAGCTCCTTTGGAATGAGGCTCTCAGGCTTAGTCACTAGGGAGCCTCCTCACACCTGAGGGCTCCCAGGATGCTGTGACTCACCTCCAGCCAGGCTGGGAGCACACTGGGAGATGGCACAGTGTCCCTGGGGTCAGGCCCAGTGGAGGTGCTGTTTCTTGTAACAACCTCCCCTACTGCCCACAGAGGTTAGAGCCTTTGAACCACCACCCAGAGTCCCTGATGTCAGTGAGTGTGCATTCATGTGTCCATGTACCTGTGTGTGTATGCATGTAAGCATATGGTAGGAGGGCTGGGTAGAAAAGGAACAGAACCATATCACATATTCCCCTTGGGATTGGCAGTTGCCATTTTTGGGGGTAGGGGTAGGGAGGGCAGCTGGATGTCTCTCAGTGGGGAATTGGGAGACATTTTTGGTGGGTTAGAAGGGTTCCTTTGGGCTTGGATAGACCATGAAGGCAGTCTTGCCTGAGGATTTGACCTGTGGTGGAAGTATCATTAGTACTTTTCTACTCATCTCTAAACCTAACACCTCATGAATAAACTCAAACAAAATGTTCTTGGAACAAGTGAGGAGCAATTAAGTTCCATGCAATCCCAAAACAGAAGCAAGATTTTCCTAAGCCATTCTCAACCTTTGAGTTCTGAGGATGTACAATCTTCTTTTCTTCGTCAACATGCTAACTGTGCCCTCTGGTGTTTGGCAGCAAAACAACAGGCATATGAATACAGGGTATGAGCATCCATCAATTCAGTAGATGTGCTACGTGATTTCCCAGAACATTTGGTTCTTCCTCTTTTTTTTTTTTTTTTTTTTTTTGAGACAGAGTCTCGCTTTGTTGCCCAGGCTAGAGTGAGTGCTGTGACGTCAGCCTAGCTCACAGCAACCTCAAACTCCTGGGCTCAAGCGATCCTCCTGCCTCAGCCTCCTGAGTAGCTGGGACTACAGGCATGTGCCACCATGCCCGGCTAATTTTTTCTATATATATCTGCCTCTGAACTTGGGGTCCTGGGCCAGGAACCACAAGGGAAGAAAGGCTAATAAGACAGCCAGGTCCCTGCTGACCAGGGGCTTCCAATCT